CAACATTTTAAGATTTGTATTTTCATACTTTGTATAAGGACTGCTGTAAGTAACATTAGCTCTGGTACATGTGCCCACAGCAACATAGACATGAAGTCCAGAAGAAAACTCTTTGTGGCGCTGTTGGCACACGTACATGCTCTTCTCCACACTGCCATCGAGAATCGTACACGTAACCAAAAATAACAAACATTTGCTCTCGTTCGCCGTCACTGATCAGACACATAGACAACAATCAACGCATCCTGTGCCTGTTCTCTTTGCAGGTGGCAAACAAACTGTCTGTGCCTTTCTGCCAGCTACCAGGTTGGAGTGTGTGCTGTTTTTTCCTTGTGCCAGAAATAAGGGAAGTTAGAACTGTGTGTGATTAAATGCATTATTTTTTTAGCCTCTTATTTAGTCTGTAGTTAGTCAAACGAAAAATAAAACATTTAGTCTCAGCACCACAATTACAGATTATAGCTCTATAACATTATATCTGTATCAGACATGATTATGAAGGTTATTGATGTTTATGAAGTTGTACAACAAAGTGGATAAAAAAGTTTTTTTTTAAGAGAGCTTAAATAATTTGTGTTTCAAAATAAAAGTACCTTTTACGTACATGATGATGGCGATGGGCACGACCTGTGAGGTTCAGTGTTGTCAGATTGTTTCAACAATAACACTACATTGCAGTCAGCAATTTATTTAAAAATAAAAACACTACATTTTGACATTGTGCTCTGTTGCATCAGCCAAAAAGACTCAGTCTGCAGAGAGAGGTTTCTGTGTTACTGTGTGATCCAGGGAGAGGAGGGGACTGTTCAGCCAGAGAGCTCTTTACAAGGCCACAGAAACAGTCCCAGAGGAACATGTGGTTTTGATTGGCTCACGTGAAGAAAAAAAAATTCTAAGGCAAGTCAAAGCACCAGTGCACACTTTGCTGTAGAAATGAAAACAGCATGCTTCTTTAAACCCACACATCCCCATCCTGGCTGCCCCTCCCATGGGAGAGTCCGTTCCTAAAATTGCAAACAATACCCTCTGTATTCATTTGAAGTTTTTTTTTTTTACATTTTACTATGGTGTGTTTCTCTTTACGATAACTGATGTACCAAATAGTTTTGGCATTTTATGGTTGTCTTCTAATTTTAGATCTATTGTTGGCGTTTCACCACATCTACGGAGCTCCTGGGCCAAAACTCTGCTGCTCTTCTACTGACTCATACTTGTTCCTCTAGACCACAGCAACTTCCCTGACCAGCCATTTTTACATTACTTCCAGTACAAGCTGCTTCACAGTGAAGACCTGTCCTACGGCGTGTCCCTGCTCCCCTGTAGCTGATCAGTTAATTCACTAAACACTGAGAGTCTTCAATGTGTAACTTAAATAAATATTATAATTATGTATTCTTAGAATCTTACAGTGGTCCTTTTGTTTAAGACTTCATTAAGATATACACAGTACTTCAGTTTTGTTTAGAAAGATATTCAGATATGGATGCTATATATTTTAAATCACTAAACCCTAAAGGTTTTTTAATCACTGCTGTTTCTTTGCCGTTTGAAGACACTTCACGTCAGTTTTCGACTTTGAAGCCAAAACATTATCCAGTTTGTTCTTGTTCCTATGACTCATTGGTGCATTTTGTAAACAAGGATACTATACGGAGGCTAGAGATGTTTTAAAATGATAATTTAAAGTATAATAATTTACGAATTAGAACATTATCTGCATAGTCTGAGTTCATTGTTGGTGTAAGTACATGGATTATAAATATGTTTCAGATTACTCTTATTAATCCCTTTCACTGTTGTTGGTCAAACAAAAGAACCCACACAGTGGACGTACAGTGTACTACAGGTCAGCAGAAAAGAAATAGCACTGTGTTGTAGAAAGTGACAGACTTGGACAGGTCGTGACCCAGAACTGGCTGAGAGGGAAACCTGACAACAGTCAGGCTTTATGTCACGCTGTTGTCATGGGATTCCTGACGTGAACCCTGACACACACATTTGTCACTTCAGCATTAGTTTACTTCTGAGGAGCAGGTGATTACCTAGAATACTTTCACTCTGAGTGGACCCACCGGATGAAAGGCTAGTGTCTGTGCAGACCATTATGGACGTTCATAGATTCCCCTAAGGAACTTGAGACATGAGATAATTAAAACTTTAAAACAAGGGAAGTAATGCATACATGCAACATTTAGTAACATTTCTCTGCTCTGAAAAAAGGGACTTTTACTTGGAAGACGTAATGCTCCAAAAATGTTGGTCACAAACCATAATCAATATCCTTGATGTCCTTGCTGTTCTTTCTGTCCAACACTCATAGCTAAGGCACAATTCATGTCATCGTTCTTGTCGTCACCAGTCTTGCCCAGATTAGGCTGAGATGGTGGATATCGTGTTTCACAAACACCCTAGAATCATAGTGCCCAGACCCAGAAGGGTCACTAACTAAAGCCATAGTCCCGCTGTTCTGTCTCTACAGGCTGCCGATGGAAAAGTCTGATTATAGCACTCTAACAGCTGAAGAGTTCTGACAGTGCTGTGTCAGGTCCAATCTGTTGAAAGAGGTTCAAAGGAGACAGTGAGGTTTTCATGAGGAACATGAGTGTCCAGAACAAGTGGGCTACATCTCACTTTGGTGTCAGTTCTTGGTCATAAAAAATGTCACCATCGAGAGCTCAGTGCCCCCAGAGTTTAGTTTATTTTTAATTGACTTTATAAAGAAGGCTCTACACGCCTTTGAAAGGTGAAAGCACCTCTGAAACATAAGAACTTCCTCTTCCTGTTTCCCTGGTCCAGACCCTCTGGCCCATAGGTTTAAAACGTGAGACTCAGCAGACCTCCCTGAAATCCAGTTGGCTTTGCCACGGCCTGACACATATATTCTCAGGGATTTTGTTTGTAAAGGTATTCCTCATGGGAAACACTGGCATTCCACGCCCATTTGTTGACCTCCGTGAACTCTCAACATGCTTAAAACTAAAAATCGTCATAGTCATCATTCCTGATTCTGCTTGCAGCCTTGGCTGATCTGCAAATAAATGGTGGTGTGGTGAAAGAAATTGGGAACAGATGCTCATGTGGTGGTGATTAAGGCCTGAGTCTTAAATTTAGTTTGATCAGTGCCCATAAGGTCACTGGATTAAGTTGGACGCAGTAAGTTAGGATTCACTAAAAAAAAAAAGAAGGTCAACTTGTGTTGAAAACTGTGGTTTTCATAATTTATTTTTCAAATGTTTTGCCATTGACTGGTGGGTTTCCCATTGATTATGAAATGGTTTGTCTGTTTAGCATTGTGAAAAAAATTATTATAAACATGAGTCACTTCCTATCAGCTTACAGTAGCAGTTCTATGGAAAACCAAGTCACTAGTGTTCACTTGTATTTCTTTAATGCTTCAGGAACTTTGGTGGCTTTTGCAAACCAGAACAAATATGCCCATTCTCTCTATTTTTTTTTTCAGTCTTAACTCTTAACCCTTTCAAGGAGAAGTTCCCACCGAAGTATCACTATTGTTGGATTTGAATGATGACTACTGTGACCAACTCATTTACATAAACATTTCCTTGTTAATACATTTCAACATAAGTTAATCCCAGCGTCTTGGTGGAGAACTAAATGTAGACGTCTTAAGGTAATCTATTGAGGCAACTGCAAAAAATCAAAGTTTTTCTGCTTTGTATTTTTCCTTACTGCGACCAGTAAAATCCTCATTTGTCTCAGTTTGTTGTGCTGTAATGGAAACAAAACGAAATAAAACCTTTGTTTACTTTCCGTAAGAATTTGCTCCTGCACTTCCTGTAACCACCTTCAAGGTGAATGATTGATGGATGGATTTTCCTTCTCAGATCAAGGATCCAAAGACCAAGAATTTGTTTTGTTTTTTAAGTTACACTAGTTTTCATTTGATAAGAATATAATTTGAATTTTACAAAAAGTAGCTAGTATTAAAAAAAATCTCTCATTATACTGTAATATGTTAATAATTTATCAGTGTTTCCATGTGTTTGCCTTTTATTTATATATATATATATATATATATATTTTTTTTTTAGGTTAATAGTACTATCAGAACAGGAGCATTTTGCATCTTGTGTGACAGATGTACTTTTCTTTTTCCACTGAGGCCCAGATTTTTCAAAATACAGCAGCTGGTAACTGCTGTGGTGAGGAGTGGGCTGGCACTGCCGGGTGGGGGGGATTAAACACATAATGAGGTGTAATGAAGGGAGCGTGAGGGTGTAGTGTGACTATTGTGTAATTTGGTCCAGACTACAATAGAGTCAACAATGGGATTGCATTATGTTTTTTAAACACTAGTGGCCGTCGTTTGACACATATTACTAGAATATAATACTAAATAGTAAACATTTGATTTTTGTGTAACTCTACTTTTGTGTGATTGACTGACTACAGCTATATAACTAATTGTATATTATACCATATAAAATAGGAGGAGACTATTACACTGCTTTTATTGTAGCAAAATAAGCCAGCAATTAATGATAATAAAATAACTAACCCACATATTATAGAAAGATTCTTAGAAAACATGTTAAAAAGGAAACTCAAACTGAGCCTCCCACCTCCATTGTTTATTTACTAAAGCATATAAATGACTGCAGGGTTTGAATTTTTTTTATTTTGGGTAGATATATTTAGAGCAGACCCACATGTTTTCTCTGTTAATAATTTCCCTCTTGTGGTACTAGAAAAGGAGTGAGAGTAGGGTGGTGCCTTGGAACAAAATGGTACAACGACGCCACCCCGAGGAAACACAGAAAATGACAGTCTATCTATGTCTGTCTGTCTGCCTGCCTGTCTGCCTATCTATCTATCTATCTATCTATCTATCTATCTATCTATCTATCTATCTATCTATCTATCTATCTATCTATCTATCTATCTATCTATCTATCTATCTGTCTATCTGTCTGTCTACCTGTCTGTCTGTCTGCCTGTATTTCTGTAGAAAAAATAAAGGACAAAAAGAAAGACAAAACACGTCATTCAGCCGATTACTCGGCGCTCGACTCTCTATGCCTTTTCAGGCTTACTAGTAGCCACAACTCGAGTTGCGCCAAACAAAACACCGATTTCTAGGTTTATTTTTTGTGACGCCATTTTCAAATGGAGCGACTTACATCGTTTGGAAGTGAGTTCTATCATGAGACCTTTTAACATCAAAATACATCAACATTTTCAAGTTGTTTGGAGTGTATGTAGCCACATTAAGCCTCGTTTGCTTTTGTTTGCTAGCGGTTTTGTTAACAGCAACAGAAGCGCTGTGATATTCGGTTGTTCTCTGTTTGTGCTCATCTACTTTCTAATTTTAATTTGTAAAATGGCTTGGTTTTTCTCTGGTATGAGTGCTGATAAAGCTGTGTATTTTCAAATAGTCGCAGAGTCGAGCATAAATGAAATACCTCTTAATACTGTCTTGTCAACAGAGGCGAACCACCATTGTACAGTAAACTAAATGATATTTTACATATAATAACGACAATATAGTTTTACACCTGAAATGTTACGCACATGTAATAGTAAAATATGGCAGGGGTTAACCTCCTCAACGTTTTAACCGAAAAAATGCAGTGGGAAATTTAAAACCAATCAAAACCATTCCACGTAAGTTATCTACAAAGTTACCAGCTAGAATTAGCAAAGCTGTTAAGTATTAACGTTATATTTACAAAGAAAAACCCTATCTACCTATTCTAGTCTTAGTGAAAATTTGCAACCTTGTGCATCATCTTGTGGTTTCAGGTGATCCCTGTGATAAACCTCCATGCAGAGGCTGTTCCTCATACCTCACTGAGCCCTATATTAAATGTGCAGAATGTGGACCGTCTCCTTTATTAGTCTGCCTCCAGGTTTGTGCTTTAAAATTAATTAAACAATAGAAAAGTTGTGTAACTTCTAGAACTAGAACATATGTAAATTAATGCAATCATTGTTTCCTATTTTAGTGTTTCACCAAAGGTTTCGAATACAAGAAGCACCAGAGCGATCACAAATATGAAATAATGGTATGTATAATAAATACAAATCTCCCTGTCATCTTGTGTCATACAGAATTTTGTCAGACAATTTTTTGTCCTCGCATCTGCCCCCTCTCGTAGACATCAGACTTTCCTGTCCTGGAACATGGATGGAAAGCACAGGAAGAGATGGCTCTGCTGGATGCAGTTATGGACTGTGGTTTTGGAAACTGGTGAGTATTAAAATAAATAAATAAGCAAAATGTTATGTCAGAAAACCTATACAACTATTACTTATACAAAGGTATAAGTAATAGACATGTATCTAATACAACAATTTATTAATTTCTTTTAGCTAAGGTAATTTACCGTTTCTTTTATTAGGCAGGACGTTGCATATCAAATGCGCACCAAATCCAAAGAAGAGTGTGAGAGCCACTACATGAAGAACTTCATCAACAACCCACTTTACTCCTCCACCTTGCTCAACTTACAGAGAACAAAAGACAACTATTTTTCAGAAAGTGCCATTCTATTTAAACGTCAGTACCACTATTAGGGCTCCTTTCACATGTTTACTTTACAGAGAATAGTCCTTTACCTGTGATCAATAAGTCTAAGTTGAGGTATTTTGTGATTTGCCAAACATCCTACAACGCACTTGAAAGTTTTTGTTGAAACTTACTTTACTTTAAATACAAGTGATGTTGTCCTATTCACTAAAAGAACGACACGTCCTTGATGATGTCTTTCTCACAGCCACTGATGATCCTCCTCGACCCACATTCGACTCAGTGTTGTCACGAGACATGGCTGGATACATGCCTGCTAGGGCAGACCTCATGGAGGTGAGTTGGTCACTAAAGTTAAATTAATCCTTCTAAGAGGAAACGAATTCAACCTGGACATAACCAGGCTTTTCAATAGTCTCACAGGCATACCCTCTAGCTGAGGTGGGGAAAAAGAAATTCTACGTTTATCTACAATTTACATTTGTATGAATATTTCAGAACATAGAAAGGACAGGAAGATAAAAACAAACCAGAAAACACAGTAAACGGTATTCAGGAAGATCAATAGCTGTGATACTATTTGAATGTCTATCTATTTCCATAACAGGTTTTTAAAGAAACGTTTGGTAGTTTTTCAAAACACTATTCAAGAATATGATTAGAATAAGAAATGCTGGGTAGCATCATCATATTCATGCAGTGAATAATGTCCCTTGGGAGCGCCAGACTTTATACAGTATGTAGGAAGGGGTTTGAACTAAAAAGATTGAGGGTCGAATTTCCCTTTTACTTTCCCTTCACCTACATAAGAATAACTGAACTACAGACCTGTCATATTTGAACTTAAAATGAGGAATTCTGATTCTTTAACTGGTTTTTACCATCCATACAGGAGTTTGACAATTACGCTGAATGGGATTTAAAAGACATCGATTTTGCAGATGACGACTCCGACGTCCTCCGTGGTGAGTGGTCATTTGTAAATCGACTAAACTAAAAGCAATTCATTAAATCACTCTGTTTGGCTAATTCATGTCTGTTTTCGTGTTTTAGCTCTTAAACTCGCAGTCGTTGACATATATCACTCCAGATTAAAGGAGAGACAGCGAAGAAAAAAGTAAGTACGTCTTTAACTACGTCAATAACTCTTTATCAGCATGTGCTCTCGGAGCAGTAAGCAATACTTTGGTTTCATCAGTAGGGGGTACTCTAGCTTTTACATTAGATTTATGGAGACATTTAATTTCCAGACCTCTCTGCTGTAATATATACATATACATATATATATATGTATATATATGTATATATATATGTGTATATATATATACATACATATATATATGTATATATATATATATATATAATATATATATATATATATATGAATATTTATATTTGAAATAATTTATTAATTTCATTATGCCACAGACCACCTGCAAGTCGGAACAAAAAGAACATTTGTAGCTTGTGCTGTTTCTGACTCTTAGTCTGACTTACTGTGGGTCGAGTCCACTTTGGTAGCTGTTCTAGTTAAAAACCCTTTTTCAGACTCTATCAGGCACTCTACATTTTAGTTATAGAAAGGCTGACCATTTGCATGTACTACATTGTTTAAAATATTTATTTATATTTTAATGCATGTGCAAATCTGCCTTTTCAGGATTATCCGTGACCATGGTCTGATCAACCTTCGGAAATTCCAGAGTAAGTGTTTTTTAAACTCGCACCGGCTCAGCTGTAACGGTATTCATAGCAGTGCAGAGAGGCATTTGATATCTGCCAGCAAAATCATTGCAGTGTTTCCATAGATGCATACAAACAGTTCTGGCAAGGTATACTATCTGAAACCTCCTGACCAGACAGATCTTTTTATACACGGTACATCAGACAGCTCAGGGCTAAGAGTCCGTCAACAGTCTACTGTACATGGCCAAAGTAAAAAAGCTGAATCACTTCCTTCAAAAAAGCTGTAAAAAAGTAAAAAAGCTGAATCACTTCCTTCTAAAAATGGGAGGAAGTTCACAAATTGTTGGTAAAGACAGTGGAATTAAAGGTTGGACTTTACATAACCCAACTATCACAATTAGGATAACTAGAAGTTTTGTGGCTTTGTGAGAATTTTTAAATTTTAAATTACAGCCTGTAGACCTACCAATGCAAGCACTTTATGTTGTCTCACTGATAAATGTACTGGGTTTTAGGGCCAAAACAATGACCCTGTTTTGCTGTTTGCTAAATCTTTGCTAAAATAATTATAATTATATTGATATTTAATTAACATTGATGATGCAGGTTAGTCGACACACATATATCTATATCAATATATTAATATCTATATATCTATATATATGTGTGTGTATATATGTGTATATATGTGTATATATATATATATATATATATAAATACATATATATATACACATATATACTGTATATATATATATATAGCTTTGTGATAACCACAGTTTGTGTGCAAACGTCTAGCCACCCTGCTGGGAGAGCAGGTGTAGTGGATAACAAGTAAGAAAAGGATATACTTACAGTAAATGTTACAGACTAAACCTCTAAAAGATCAACATTTCACCTCCTTCAATCACTCAACCCACACTTGTTTGTCCGTCTGCTGATCTCTATTTAGTTTTATTCATGTCTTCTCCAGTTAGACCTGGTTCTCTGCCTACCACACTCCATTCCTTTATCTCTCTTTCAAGACAAAAGAGATCACCCATGTACTGCAGACTGGTTGTCATGGAGACTGTGTCACACACTCACACTCTACTCTGTGTGAGCGTGTATAATGTGCTGTAATGGCAGCAAATCTATCTCTCAGGTCTCAGTAAACTGTTCCTGAACTGTTCGGACTCTCATCCATATTTGCAGCTATACATTTTAGATCTTTAAATAAGAAGGATAATGCTATTCATAGAAAGATGAGTGTGGGTTTAAGCACAGTAAATGACCAGGCAAAGATCATCATGGCTGATGATCTGATTATCTTTTGTTCGTGTTTTCACTCCCATGATGAAACAACTGTTTCTGTGTGCCTTGCAGCTTTGTGGCTATGGCTTTTCTCAGTAGGGTGGGGCAAGACAGCTGGACCTGATCTAGTGAGGGCAGAGAGCTAAGGCCAGAGGGAGGTGTCCTCCCCTGCGGTGGCTTCTAAGGATCGGGCTAATAAACATATTTACACTCATAAAAAGTAAAAGCATAAATTCAACAAAACATGCAAACAGAGCCCAAGATGACTAAAAAACAGTATTAGGAGAATAATCCTGGTTCTCTACATTTACTTTTATACTTCAGAAGGCTCTATAAAAGAGAAGTGGAACAAGTGTATACTCTGTCATATAGAATAAACTATAAAACCATTCCATCAGTGTTAATGGTGACATCCATGATATCTGGTAGTTCCACGGCATGTTGTCCGGCCCAGCACAGTTATATACCTAAATACAAACATAAATGCAATGGACTTCTGATTGAAATGTTTGACTTAAAATTCACAGGTCAGCAATGGAAAACCAAAATGTTTCCTTCCTCTGTCCCTCCCTTTTAGTGCTGGAGCGTTGTTATCCAAAGGAGGTGCAGGAGCTGTACGACGTCATGAGAAGGTTTGCCAAAGTGGTCGGGCCGATTGAACACGACAAATTCATCGAAAGTCATGCTTGTTAGTATTCAGCCCAGCTGACAATTCAGACAAAGAATGCTTCAATTACCCAAATGTCAGAATGTCAAGTCATTGCACTAATTTAGTTTGAATGGAGATTTAGATTTTTTTTTTCTTTCTGCTTCAGGATTTTCTGTGGATTAAAATGGACCTTTTTCTTTAGTCAGAACATTCAGAAGAAATTTGAAAGGCTTGTTTTCTATAAAGTCAACATCTCCAGCACAGCCTGCTGTTTGTGTTTCATTGTAAATGTGCTGACTACTGACTACAGCCTTAGTGTACATAGTGTACTTAACATATCAGACCATCACTACTCCTGCAGTGAGTAGTGGGTTTTAAGATGCATACCACCACCTACTGTACTAGAGTGTGAAGTCTCATGGTATGACCACTGACCTTGATCCCTATCTCTTGAGCTGATGTGTTATCTTTCTTTAGTAAACCCAAACAAAGGCATTCTTCCAGATAGGGTTGGATCCAGTGAAGCCACTTCTTCCTAACCTATAATCAACTCCACCTGCTTCTTTCTTTTTCAGTGGAGTTTGAATTGCGACGGGAGATTCACCGTCTCCAGGAATACAGAAAAGCAGGAATCAAGTCATTCTGCAGTGAGTTGAAAAATACCCTACCTTTCTGCATCGTTATTAATGAAATGAATTTTATAGCTGTACTCCCTACCTTTGGTTGGTGGGTTTTCTAATTCATTTGTCATTTCCAGCAGCAGTGGTGCTGCTATAATCCATATGATATGATTTCACAACTGCTCTTGTAGTCATGTTACTGTACATCATCGCCTCAGGTGCCAGAGTGTATGAGCGGGCCAAGCGAATGCGTGAGGACGAGCGGAGGAAGAGGACTATGTTGTGTGAAGTTCTGCAGTACATCCATGACGGTCGAGCCTGTCAGCAGTGGCTCAGCAAACAGGCTGCAATGTACGTGAGAATCTGTTCTACTGAGTGAAGCCAAAACGTTTACACAGCTTTAACATAGATTCTAATGTAATAAAAACTTTTTCCTGGAGCATTTCTAAACTGGCTTCATTCAAACATCCAAAAGTCTGAAAATGTTTTACATAATTTACAAAATAAATCTTAAAAGTCACTTCTATTTTTTTTTTTGCTGAATAACAGACAACTCTGGTTTGTAACAAATCTTAGTCCTGAACTCTTAGGTCATTCCTTTTTAGAGAATTCCTCCAGCTCCTCCAGGTGTAATGGTCCTCTGACACTGACAGGGTCATTGCCAGAGGACCATTACATCTGGCCTAAGGGTAACGGCACAGTTTGTTTGTTTTTTTTGCAAAGGTTTTCAATCTCCATTCTTCATTTCTTTCTCAGGATTCAGTCCTGGATTCAGCATTTTACTGCCACGTCCATGTTTCTTTGAGGTGTTTTTGGTTCGATTTTTAATCCCTTTTACACAGGCATAGGCAACTACATAGACGACATCTCTATGATTAAACATTAAAAGTATATCTGGTCTTGGATTTGAACAACAGAAGTGAAATTTACTTTGTGTGCAACTTGTTCTTAATCTTTGTTTTTCCACATCTTCCTGATCTGTTGTATTTTAGATTTTTTTTCTAATCTTCTGTTTGATTAGCAGCTAATAAATTATGTATTTGTACTGAACACCCTTTACTCAAATGCACGTGTTTTGCTTTGAACTGCAGAGACGCTGGCATCACTCCAGCTGTGTCAACCATCACAGTATCAGGTATGACCACCTTCACCCCTCACCCCCACACAACATGTAATATACTGTAAATGTCTTCCAAGTGCAACATTGTAAACGTCATCGTCAGCCTGCTTTTAGTGAGGATCAACACTGGGGTGCCATATGTTTGTTTGAATGTTGTTAAATTTCTGCTCCACAGCAACGGGTCGGCGGAGTGCCCCTCCTTTGAACCTGACAGGATTGCCCGGAACAGAGAAGCTCAACGAGAGGGAAAAAGAGGTAGGGCAGTCATTTGTCTACTTTGTGGCAGATTCAACAGGAGCGGGAAAAACAAAGTCTCGCTCTCGACAGTATAGAACCAGAGTGTGACTAAATGTTTAAACTGATCGTAAATGCCAGCTTAAATGGCCACTTCTCACAGCTTCTGTGGGCATATTCAGGGCCCAGGCCCTTCCTTTGAGTCTGTCGGTTTTTCTGTAGGTGACATCGTTGATAGCAATGATACACATCTGTATGTCTTTGCTGGTCACGCCTTTTCAACATGTAGGCTGTGATTCAAACCTGGTGCCATTCATATCTTTACATGGGCTATAACACATTTGGAAAACAATAATTTTTATAGCAGAATGACTGTATTATATAAATGTATTATATTTGTTATTATATAAATCAGTATCAAATGGAAAAAAAACTTTATCTCAAATGCTCTCTTCTAGTAATTTCATAATAGTATCTTTTGATCTTTAGATTCTGACTGTACAGATTTTAGTGTTGAAAACCCTGATGTGACATGTACTATGGAGCTGCTTGCAGCAGTGCACCAGCATTGTCAGATGTAGTTTGTTGGCAGAAATGCACCAGTATGGTAATGTATTGATGGTCCCTAATTATGCTAGTATTTAGCAAACCATGTAGACTGTAAACACGTTACAGTGGCCAAATTAAAGGTTTGTTATGCAGTTCCACCTTTTTTTTAAATCAGTTGATTTCTCACATTACACAAACCTGAGGGAAAATCTGTGTTTATTCCTCTTTTGGGTCCTTGTATCTAATAAACCTGTGGGTTGGGTGGCGCTGATCAGAAATTACTTTGTTGATCCCTCAAGGGAAATTCTTAACATGACAAGACACTTCTTGATGAAAGTGGAAAATATGAATCAGTTGAAGTTGGGTAAAATAGAATAGAATGAATATAAAAGAGATTAAACTATAATCTATTATAATTTCTATATAATATAAACTATAATTGATGCAAGAAATCAAGAAAGTAGCAGAAGAATTAGCTAGATACACAATAGTATTCACAGTATACATGCAATATTGTAATACTTCTGGATGTAACAATTTACTGTTTAATAGTTATATTGCAACTGACAGGAATGAATTTCATTGTCTCTCTGTAGCCAAAGTAGAATTATAGTGTGGTGCTAAACGTGCTCCTGTAACTAATCAGCAGGTTGTGGAGAGGATGTGAAGGAGAGTCCAGTGTTGTCCTTCTTCCAGACAAAGTTCTCCTCTCTAACACCAACCTTAGGGAACACATAAATTCAAACTATTTTTTCCGATTTCTTTCCGTTTTTTTTTTTTGCTGCACTTAACTTCAATTTTCATTTAATTATTTTGACCGATTCTAAACACTGTACGTATCAGGTTGCCATACCTGTTCAGGTTCACAACACTGGAAGTTTTTAAAAACCTGATTCCTATAGACATCTGTTCAAAAAAAATATCAACTTGTCTCATTCATTATTTGGCCAATACATATTATGCCATTAGTCATTTTGGTAGTATTTGGGCAAAAATCTTGACAGATTTAGAAAAAAACACTTTGATAACTTTACCACTGTATGCTTCTTACCCTTTCATTGAGCTGACATTTAGCTGAAATCGTATGATATGCTTTTTAACACCTTTCTTTTCATTGTTCTTGTAGTTATGCCAGGTGGTGCGCCTGGTGCCGGGAGCCTACCTGGAGTACAAGCAGGCTTTAGTCAACGAGTGCAGACGGCAGGGCGGGCTGCGTCTTGCCCAGGCACGGGCACTGATCAAGATTGACGTCAACAAAACACGTAAAATCTATGACTTCCTACTAAAAGAGGGCTGCATCACTAAGGCCTGAAAGTGTCTAGAAGGAATTGGACAGGTATTACTTCACACATCTGATACAGTCTCCACTTCTGTGACTAAAAGTCACATTTTCATCACAAGTCTCTGCTAATGATGCATACAATGTTAAAGCCTGTTGTGTCTAAAGATCTTTTTGAAAGGTTAGTATCAGAGACACGGTTGTCTGTAATTAAATAAGGAAATAATGACTTTAATGTTAAAATGTGTTGACGGTGTTAAATATCCTGATATAATAAATAATACCAACTCTATAATTATTGTCCTGCTATGTGCTTATCTTAATATTAAAAATAAATTCTGGTCAATAATAAAACACTAAATCTACATTAAATTAATTTATTATATATATCTGATTAAATTGGATCTGAGCAGATATATTACATTATCCTTTTAGTAACCCAGCCCACAAGGATGTTACGTTTCCTTCCTATGATAGTCCCAAGCCCAGATTAATTGGTCAGGATTTCCTCAGGAAGGACCTTCAGTGTTAAACCTGTACCAAAATAAAATATGCAATTACGGCCACAGTGGTCCTATGAAGTATAGAGTTATGTGTGCAGGTCAAAATTGTATAAAACTTGGGATTGGCAGAAAGGCATGTGATGGTTGTAGGACATGCACAAATTAGCAAGACAGTAGTTGTAGAAAGACAGTGCTGTAATTATTTTGCCACTGTTTCAATATTTGAAAAAACAAAATAATGTGTTTTGGTCTTCAAGATGCATTTACATTGTTTGGTTTCAAATCCAACCCAGCTGTTGTTGCTTCAGTAGGGATCACTTTGACCTGTAAATGCCAACAAACGCTGCCTTATTTGACAAAAGACAAAAGAGATGTCACAGTACAAACCACAAATAGACTCACAATGTTGCACTGTGCTGCTAAACTCCTGCAGCTTAGCAGCAGCACTGTCTATATAAACTGACTGGTGGAATTTCCATGAGTCACTTGCCAGGCATGTCCAGATGATTTGACTATGATCGACCGAATATTATTAACATGCTGTTTTACACAAAAACTCCTACAAATGCATACAAAACTAATGAGTAATGAACCCACAGTAGAAATCAACCAATCAGTGTTTACTCCAAAAAACAACTCGATGCAGACAGGGAGGGTGCTCGATGATAAAGCAGGAAATTTAAGTACAGCATTCACACTGTTTCCATATGACCCTTCCCACAACCCTGTGGCGTGATGTTGGATATTTGTGGCAAAAGTAAATACAGAAGGCTGTCATCAAGTGAATGGCTCACAAGAGCAGCTGCTGCCAGTCTAATAATAACAACCAAGTCAATCTCATTTGACAGACAAAAGTCAACAGTTCTGGGAGCAACAATATATTTGATCCGTGTTTAGCATGTAATTTTTGGTCAGATATTGAAAAATTATGATGAAAATACTTGCCAAAATATTTTTCAAAAGCTTATCTTAACTGCCTGTTTCTCATCAAAAAAGAGCATTTTTGTTTTAAAAAAGTACATGGTTCCTCTGGAAATTGAACTGTTTTTTCTGAATGTAGGTTAAGTTGTTGTTTTAACAGATTAAAACAAAAATATCTTAGCAAAAAATAATAGACGCTCCAATAGATGTTTTGAACTGACTGAAAAATCTCTAATTAAATTTATATGTTTAATAATATGAAAAATAGAGTTTTGGGACATAAACTTGCATTTTAAAGCATTTCTGGGGCTTTTTTTTTACCGTTTTTACGTGATAGTAAGACTTGCTTGTTTTGCTGATATTTTTGTTTTTATTGCAAGTAAGGCATTTCTTGGACTTTTAAATATTATACCAATAAGTTCCTGAACAAATCTCCGAAAATAAGTTTCTCAAAAATGACTAAAAATACACTCATTTGCCTCAAAATACTTAGCTCTGTCCATTTTTGTGGTTAAAATTCAGAACAAATATACTTTTTTGGTACGCCACTTTTGATCACAGTAAAATACTATACCAATAAGTTCCTGAACAAATCTCCGAAAATAAAAGTTTCTCAAAAATGACTAAAAATACACTCATTTAGCTTAAAATACTTGGCTCTGTCCATTTCTGCAGTTAAAATTTAGAAAAAATATACTTTTTTTGGTACATCAATTTTTGATCACAGTAAAAATACTATACCAATAAGTTCCTAAACAAATCTCCGAAAATAAAAATTTCTCAAAAATGACTAAAAATACACTCATTTGCCTCAAAATACTTAGCTCTGTCCATTTTTGTGGTTAAAATTCAGAACAAATATACTTTTTTGGTACGCCACTTTTGATCACAGTAAAATACTATACCAATAAGTTCCTAAACAAATCTCCGAAAATAAAAGTTTCTCAAAAAAGACTAAAAATACACTAATTTGGCTTAAAATACTTAGCTCTGTCCATTTCTGCAGTTAAAATTCAGAAAAAATATACTTTTTTGGGACGTAACTTTTTGATCACAGTAAGAATACTATACCAATAAGTTCCTGAACAAATCTCCAAAAATAAAAGTTTCTCAAAAAAGACTAAAAATACACTAATTTGGCTTAAAATACTTAGCTCTGTCCATTTTTGTGGTTAAAATTCAGAACAAATATACTTTTTTGGTACACCACTTTTTGATCACAGTATAATACTATAGCAATAAGTTCCTGAACAAATCTCCAAAAATAAAAGTTTCTCAAAAAAGACTAAAAATACACTAATTTGGCTTAAAATACTTAGCTCTTCCCATTTCTGCAGTTAAAATTCAGAAAAAAATGAACTTTTTTGATACGCCAACATAGGATCACAGTAAAATACTATACCAATAAGTTCCTGAATAAATCTCCGAAAATAAAAGTTTCTCAAAAAAGACTAAAAATACACTAATTTGGCTTAAAATACTTAGCTCTTCCCATTTCTGCAGTTAAAATTCAGAAAAAATATACTTTTTTGGTACGTCACTGTTTGATCACAGTAAAAATATTATACCAATAAGTTCCTGAACAAATCTCCGCAAATAAAAGTTTCTCAAAAATGATTAAAAATATACTCATTTAGCCTGAAATACTTAGCTCTGTCCATTTCTGCAGTTAAAATTCAGAAAAAATATACTTTTTTGGTACACCACTTTTTGATCACATTAAAATATTATACCAATAAGTTCCTGAACAAATCTCTGCAAATAAAAGTTTCTCAAAAATGATTAAAAATATACTCATTTAGCCTGAAATACTTAGCTCTGTCCATTTCTGCAGTTAAAATTCAGAAAAAATATACTTGTTTTGGTACGTCACTATTTGATCACAGTAAAATACTATACCAATAAGTTCCTAAACAAATCTCCGAAAATAAAAGTTTCTCAAAAAAGACTAAAAATACACTAATTTGGCTTAAAATACTTAGCTCTGTCCATTTTTGTGGTTAAAATTCAGAACAAATATACTTTTTTGGTACGCCACTTTTGATCACAGTAAAATACTATACCAATAAGTTCCTAAACAAATCTCCGAAAATAAAAGTTTCTCAAAAATGACTAAAAATACACTCATTTAGCTTAAAATACTTAGCTCTGTCCATTTCTGCAGTTAAAATTCAGAAAAAATATACTTTTTTGGGACGTAACTTTTTGATCACAGTAAGAATACTATACAAATAAGTTCCTGAACAAATCTCCGAAAATAAAAGTTTCTCAAAAATGACTAAAATTACACTCATTTAGCTTAAAATACTTAGCTCTTCCCATTTCTGCAGTTAAAATTCAGAAAAAATATACTTGTTTTGGTACGTCACTTTTTGATCACAGTAAAATACTATACCAATAAGTTCCTGAACAAATCTCCGCAAATAAAATCTTACCACTTGGTCGACATTTGGTCGAAAC